TGAATAAATAAGAGATATCCTTTTGAAGAATCAATTATTATAAATACGAATTTTCGTACAAGCCACCAGTTTTCAAAGTTGTGATACCTGTTTGTTGAATCCCCTGCAGAAGTCGAGAAATTACCCTAGTTTATTTGGAAGTTGGACCTATTTTTTCCTTCATAGTGTACTGCAGAAAAAAATTTTTTTTTTCTCTCATTGGCCCAGCACTTAAGAAAAATTTAAACGATGTACTCCTGCTTGAAAAAACGTTGTAAGTTACTTAACAAGAGTATGAATAATCGTCTAACCAGCTATTATCTTTGCACTGAAGTGTGACCTTTTATTGATGTAAGACGTTTTGTTAGCTCAGAGTTCGTCTTTTTTTTTCTAGGTATGAAATTTGGATCACCTAGTTTTTTTTTTTTTGTAGAATTATAAAGAGAATGTTGATCTTATAAATGATTTTAACAAACGTGTTTTAACCAGTAGGCCTAATTACAATGTATAATTGTTATGTAGTTTGACGCAAGTGAACCAAGATTCAAGATTCGTACTCTGGCCCCACGTTTAGTTACAACTATTTTGTTATGCTCGGTTGTTATTATTATTATTATATAGCTGTGTTAGTGTGAAGATATGTGTATTTTTGAAGTGAATACTCAACTGAATATGCATGCTCACAAACTCAGTTCTGAGCATAATGAAGCACAGTTATACTCATACGACTTCCACAAATTATCTCTGAAAATTATATTAGGGTTATTCGTTCAGAACAGAGATGCTGATTATCCTGTCACATTTTCTAATTAAAATTACTTTCTTAATTAACTAATATGGACACCTACAGGTAGGTACAAACTAACTTGGAAGAAACGCCCTCTGTGATTATTCGTACCTGAAAACAAGCCCCACTAACCATAAGTACGGGAAGGCATAAATAACTTGCCATAGCCTCTGATGTAAATTAACTTGTGTGACCTATATATATGTATATTGTCCAGCCATTGAAAACGGGATTCATACCCGTAAGGCTCGTGCCTAAGTCTCAATTCACTATGATTTCCGCATTTGTTTCTCAGTGTTTAACTCTTGGTTCTGTTCAAGCATGCGCAGAAGATCGGGGAACCTTTATCTAACTTGTTGGTCGAGTTTTTTCGTCTGTTATGTAAATACCATATCTCACAAGTGCGGGTAGTCCACTATATATCATTCGCTGCATAATATTCTGTGTTAGAGCCAAATTGAAGAACAAAAATGTCTGATAAATTTTATTAGTGCCCTCTGCTGTTGTTTCTTTGTCTGGAAGCGAGAATCTTGTTTGCACCCCGAGAAGAAATCTATGATCTGAGTTATCTTCTCTAAAGATAACCTATCTTAGTTTTCAACGGATATATGGCCACTTTTTGTTAAGTAAATTATAAGATTTGTTAAACAAATTTGTACACTTAAAATATCTTTCAAGACATTTGAACCCTAGATTTTTGTGAGAAGATATTAACTCAGGTCATGTATGTGTCGTCACGCGATTTCTAAACGACAAGAATCACCTTAAGTATTTGACATAAAAAGCTAGTTTTTATACATGTGTGTGTGTGTGTGCAAACACCTGCTTTTGTGGATATTGTTGTAGATATTAAAACGATTAGCCTAATTCTACCTGGTACTGTCAAGCCCTGTGGCTAGAGTACCCGTCTGTTGGACGAGTGAAATAAAAACTCGTTTGTAACAAAGGATAGCAAATTGTGCTTCTATTTTTTATTAACATAACAAACATTAAAAGTGCAATAAAAACACATGAAGATTGAGAAGAAAGACATACTGTTTTTCAAAATTCTATCAATATGAAATTATATGGGGGAGGAGTCCAACCCCCTCATGACCTTTCTTATGTCATCCTGTATCACAATGTCAAGTTTGGTGCTGATTGATCAAATGTGGAAACGTATAACGAACAGATACACACACACAAACATTGATGTTTATTTATATAGATTAGGCCTACGAACTGGTATAGAAGAACTGTTAAGTCTAAGGGGCTGAAAACTTAAATAATAATTAACGACTTCTTTTTATAAAGAGCCCCAAAACCATTTGTATTGTAAATATTTTTTTTATCCTGAGACCGCTTAGGACTATTAGGGCACCATAGATCCTGATACATCAACGGTGATTTTGGGGCAGATTTACCTGATAACGCCCATCTTCTCTCCAGGTAGCCATCCCTAATTTAGCAATGAAAGACTAGAGGGAAGGCAGCTAGTCAACACCACCCACTTCCAACTTTTGAGCTACTCTTTTATTAACGAAAAGTGGGATTGACTTTCATATTATATTACCCCCACGGTTGAAAGGACGAATATGTTCGATGACGGGTATTCGAACCCGCAACTTGCAGATTGCGAGTCGAGATTGTAAGCTATTACACACGATAATATTAATACCTGGTTTGTATATCTATTTTTGTTTTTTAAAACATTTACTTGTAAACTTTTTCTCTACAGAATAACTCGAGGACTAAAATTTACATTTATTTTAAGTACTTGGAGCTAAATGTCGCTGCATAATAGTTTTACTACTGAAAACAGGTAAGTGGGAATGTGGAACTAGGGTATAATAGATACATTTCTATAGGATCTATCATTAACCACGAGTTAATGTGAGTAGGGACTCAGGTTTTATGTAATGAGTGCGTTAGTTTACACGTCAAAGATTTCCTTTAAGTGAAGTATATTTTATATTTCGCTGGATTTTTCTAGTTATTGGTATACAATTTGAATTTAAGATAAACATGTATTTTAATTATTTTGTTTCCTTCAGTTCATAATGCTAGCCTTTGTCTTACCTTAGTGACGTACTTGGTACGCTCGCAACTTCTATTATAAAGAACCATATGGGCATACTTTGATAAGGTTTTTTCATATTGTATCTAATCATGTGTGGTTTTTACGACCTTTCATCAATTAAATATACAATAAATCAATCAAACACAAAAATGTTGACATTTTATCAAATTTTCTAGTTTTTCCTGGTTCCTGGGAATACAAAATACCTGATCGCGAGAGGGTTAATGATGCAAGCTTCTTTTACCTGAACTCGTTTAAATAATAGAAAGGAATAAGTACTGTATTTAATAAGATAATTGTAATTACTGCACAGTTATTTAAAAGCCTATTGTTTAATACATGATCTGGAGATATACACAGCGTGGTCACAAGTAAATAGACACCACCTTTTCAGAAAAAATTAAAACTTTCAGTCATATTCAAATGAATTGATATATTTATAATTTAATTAATATCCAGTAGATCTTCCTTTCGTTTCGTGGAGTTCGTTGATTCTTTGGGG